GGTGGATTCTTTACTACTGAGCCACCAGGGAAGCCCATTGTACTTCACAGATAATTAAAAAAAAATTTTTTTTTAAACAAATTGAAGGTTTGTGGCAACGTTGCCTCAAGCAAATCTGCAGCACCATTTTTCTAACAGCATATGCTCACGTCGTGTCTCTGTCATATTTTGATAATTCTTGCAATATTTCAAACCCTCTACCAGCAAAAGAGTTGATGGTTAGCATTTTAGCAATAAAGTATACATTATATTTTAAGACATAATACTATTGTATGATTCATAGAGTATAGTATAGTGTAAATATAACTTATATGCCCTTGGCGAGCAGAAAAATTATGTGACTTGCTTTATCATGATATTTGCTTTATTGTGGTGGTCTGGAATCACACCTGCAACAACTCTGTGAACACCCCCCTCCCCCCCCACACACAGAGTTTTTTAAGAGCAGAGAGTATAAGCATGGATGCGTAAAGTTTCAATGCTTGGATATCTGGCTTTCATATTTTGTCTCCAATCCAAACTTGAGATAGCACAAAATTCTTAAACAGATGAATGACTCTGGTAAATCACAGGCTCTCAGATAGCTCTGTGCACAGACTCAGTCCTGGTGGGAACCCTTGTAACTAGATTTGCAGCTGCGTCAATGGTCAAATCCAAATAGTATTGACTGGACAGTCTTTTCTACTGGCATGCCACAAGGCTCTGGTTTTATTCTTTTCCTGGTTGACAATTTCATCATAATTTTTTAATAGGCAGTACATACATGTTGTCAACACTTTATACAAAAGTAAAAAAGCTTAAACAGTGTAAAGAAAGTTTCTTTCCTGTTCTCGTCCTCCAGTCTCCCCTTCCCTCCCCAGAGGTAGTCCCTGTTCTGTTTCTTATAATTCTTTCCAATTTGAATATACAAGCATGTCCATATATATTATTTGAACATTTACACATAAATGTTAGCACAATATATCTGCTGTTCTTCACTTTCCCACTTAAATCATCTTAGAATTTTTTTCTGAAAAACTTGAAACCGACTTGAAAATCTTTGCCCCTTCTGTCTCCTGTTAACCCCAGTCAAAGAAGGAAACAGTTTTAGTTCCAATAAGAACAATAATCACAGCAGATTGAAATACTTTTTGTTGTTCAGTTGTGTCTGAGTCTTTGTGACCCCATGAACTGCAGCACGCCAGGCTTCCCTGTCCATCGCCATCTCCCAGAGCTTGCTCAAACTCATGTCCCCATTGAGTCAGTGTTACCATCAAACCATTTCATCCTCTGTCATCCCCTTCTTCTCCTGTCTTCAACCTTTCCCAGCATGAATGAAATACTTGAAACATATTTAAAATCAAGAATTCATAATGATTTTTAAACAGAATAAAATTTCACTTTTTTGGGAGGATGTGAGAGTATCATCTCAATTTTCTGAAAACTGGTAAATAAAAGGAAAGACTCCAACTAACTATTCTCCTTTTTCTTCACAAACTGAACCTTGAGGTAGCCAAATAGTTTTTTTTTAAAATACATTTATTGGTTTATTTTTGGCTGTGCTGGGTCTTCACTGCTCTAGTTGCAGAGAGCAGGGTCTCCTCTCTCGTGGTGCATGGGCTTCTCATTGCGGTGGCTTCTCTTGTTGCCAAGTACGGCCTCTAGCGCGGGCAGGCTTCAGTAGTTGCAGTATGCAGGTTTGTTGCCCTGTGGCATCACCAGGGATCGAATTGGTGTCCACTACATAGCAAGGTGGATTTCTTAACCACCAGGGAAGTCCGCCAAATAGTTGATAGGGGAAATTCCTCTTTAGAGGCATGATAGATGATTACTGTTTTGCAGCCCCTCACCAATTAGTGGATTCAGGCAATAATCATCAATGGCTGCTAACATTACAGGAGAGACACTCGACATTCTGTGCCTCCTGATGGGAGTATTTCATATGTATGGGGTAATTTGTGTTTCCTTCACTGTCAAGTGTCTCTGTGTATTTTTAGTTTTTTTTTTTCTTGTTGATTTGTAGAAGCTCTTTTCATTTCAAAGAAATTAGCCAATGGTCTGTAATATGGGTTGATAATGATCTTTCCCAGTTTGTTGTTTTCTCTTTTAATTTTGCTTTTGCTTTTTTTTTTTGCCATTTCAATTAAAAATGAATATAGTTGAATTCATCAATATTTTATGACTTTTAGATTTTGGGGGGTCATTTTATTAATTAATTTATTTTTGGCCATGTATTATGGCTTGTGGGATCTAAGTTCCCTGACCAGTGGAAGCGCAGAGTATGACTTTTATTGATATATTTTGTATGATACCTTAAACAATCTTTTCTGCTTTGAGATTATAAAAGTATTCTCTTCTATGTTGTTTAGTTCCTTCATGGTTTCCTTTTTATGTCAAAATCTCTGATCTATCTGGAGTTGATTTTGATGTAAGGAGTGAAATAGGGATGTAACTCAGTTTTTGTCTAGGACACTACCCACTTGTCATAGTACAGTTTACTGAATAGTCTGTCTTTTCTGTAGCAATTTAAAATGTCAGCTTTGTCATACACTGAATTACTTAATTCCAATGTGTATTTAATTCTGTTTCTGAACTTTCTTGTTTATTTAATCGACATCTGCCTATTCATGTATCAGTGCCACATTGTTTTAGTTGTTGTGACTTTATAGTATGTGTTAGCTAATACTTTGGAGAGTAACCCTGCCCCTCCTCATACACATAAGACTCTTCATCTCTAGAATGTTTATGGCTGTTCTTCTGTATTTAGTTTTCTTTATAAATTATTGAATAAATGTATTTGGTTCTCAAAAAAGTCATGGTTTTTTAAATTGAAATTGAGTAAAATTTATAGATTATGTGTAAAGAGACTTGCCATCTGTTGTGTTTTACTAACTCAACCAAGTTACTGGGAATATAAATAAAAATTCTTGCATTTATGTTGGGGAAACATCAGTTGCACAAAATACAGTTGTTTATTAACTAATTTACTCTGCATGTCAGACAATATTTCATATATTGGAGAGAAAGCAGATTATTTAAATTAATCGTAGGTGGTTCCTAGACTCTTTGCTGTTTGTTAAGATCAAGCTTGGCATCATATCATGTGAAGAAATTATAGTTTCAGCTGACATCCAATCTTACGTTAGCCGACAGGATCATGTGGTTGTTTCTGAGTAATTATAATCCTGGGTCACATCAGAGGATGTGCAGAGAGGGAGAAGTAGTATGTAGCAAGTGAGTGGTTCAGGCTCTGAAGGCAGACAGCAGGGGTGCGAATTAGGTGCCCTATGACCTTGGAAGTTTATTTAACCTCTTTGAGCTTCAGTTTCCTCAACTGTAAAATAAGGTTGTGTATGAGGCTTAAATGAGATCATCTGAAAGGCTTTGCACTTTGTCTGGTACATACTGGTGTTCTTTAAACATTGCTGTTATCAATTATATTGGAAATCTAACTCTGCTGGTCTGATATTATCTCATTTATTATGTTCAGTTTGCGATATCATTATTTAGAAATAAAGGCAATAGAAGAAAACTAGAAAAGGGCAGCCAGGCTGTTAGAATAGGGCGTGACCTAGAGACATTAATGAAATAGTAGGCCTTTTACTGGAACAGAGAGAGTAAATGAGAAACAGGGTGGCTAGATATTTATTCTGTATTGCTTGAGAGCATGGGGATTAAAACCATCTAGTGGAATTCAGTTTAACATAAGGAAAGTCTTTCTGGTAGCTACTTCTGTTCAACAGTGGAATGGCTCCTTGGGTGAGAGGGGAGTTTGCGGGAGAATGGACACATGTATATGTATGGCTGAGTCCTTTTGCTGTTCTATCGGATACCTGAAACTATCACAGCACTGTTAATCAGTTATACCTCAATACAAATAAAAAGTTAAAAAAACAATGGAATGGCTCTATAGTCAGCTGTTTCTTAGAAGAAATGTTCAGTAAGGATCTGGATGGCCATTAGGAAACACCAAAAAGAGTTTCTGAATTATGAAGAGGAGGCTAAACCAAGGGGGTTTTCCTACGGAATTCTTGTGTAAATGTACACATGTTAGTCGCTCAGTCGTGTCCAACTCAATGTGACCTTATGGACTGTAGCTGGCCAGGCTTCTCTCGTCCATGGGATTCTCCTGGCAAGAATATTGGAATGGATAGCCATTCCCACCTCCAGGGGATCTTCCTAACCCTGCATTGGCAGGTGGATTCTTTACTATCTGAGCCACTAGGGAAGCCCAGATTGCACATATGGAAAATTCTCTGTATGTTTATGGCTTATCCGTTTTCAAAGAATTTCAAAGATTTTAAATGTTTGAGACCATGTTTGGTTCCTTTCTGAGTGAGAGGATATTACAGTGCCTTGGGGTCCTTGTGAACATGAGTGATCATCAAAGACATGGAGAAATGAGGAGACTCAGGAATCAGCTCATTTTACTTCTATCTTTGTCTGTTGTTCCCTTGGAGACAAGTCCCTTTTCTCTGAATGCCATCTTTTCTGTGTAGGCTCTTAATCTTTGCTCCCCACTTTGAGTATGTCTCTTTGAAAGAACAAGCATGTTACTCAAAGTTTACTACCTCTTAGTGTGAATGGAGCTTTTTGAAAGAAGGTGATATTTATTTGTACCTAGCAGACAAGTGACAAGTTTAAAAAAAACCCTGTAAACTTGACTTTGGCCTTGACTGTGCTCCATGTATCACTAACACACTTCCCTGGTGCCTTACTTTTCCTGCTGCTTTTATTGCAATAAATGTAACCATAATATGTTAGAAAATTTTAATAAAGTTATATAAAGGAGATAATATTTAATAATCTATTTCAGATCCATCTTCCTTTTTTTTTTTTTCTCACAGGCTTTTACTGACTTGCTGTCTTTTCCAGTATTATGTTCTGTAAAACCTTTTGCTGTCACCAGGTAACATTTGTGGTATCCTCATAGGTACTGTGTTATACCACTAAATGAGAAACCTGGTAAATGTGAACACAATGCTGAGTTGATCTCTAAAATACCATTTTTGTATTTTTAGTGAATGATGAACCCACTGCAACCACTGATCCCGAAGAACCCTCTGTTGTTGGTGTGGCGTCCCCACCTGTTGCAGTGTCCAGTGTGACCCCGAACCCCACCACTGCGACTACCCCTGCCACGGCCACGCCGGCCGAAGGGGAGGAGCCCAGCACTTCAGGCACGCAGCAGTTCCCCGCAGCCGCCCAGGCCCCCGATGCTCTGCCTGCTGGGTGAGTAGCCTTCTGTCCCACCACAGCACCCCCCCAACTCCCTAGGAAAAAACCAACTGGGGCTCCTTCACCAGGCCAGAAACAATGTGGTTATTTATTACCTGGTGGCTAGCAGTCCCTGGGGAGGCTGCCATGCATCAGAGCGAGAAAGGTGTGGAAGGACTGCTCGTTCTACATAAATCTGGAAAAAAACCTAAATCATCTGGGGCTGGATCAATGCTACCTTATATGGTGACTTGAAATGAGCAGCTCAACTCAAAAAGTGTGGCTGTTACGGAACAAGGAGCTCATTTTGCCCTCCAAAATCACTGGGTTTGCCCAGATCCTGCCTAGAAAACAACTTTTCGCCCTTGCATTTTATCTCAATGGCCCATGGAGGACTTTAGACCCTGAGTATTACTGTATGTTTTTCCATGACTGGAGCTGATGTTAACGTGGACTTATAGTTTTCTTGCCACCTTTTAGTTCAGAATGAAATCTGATGCTAAAGGCCTTGGGTGACAGGAAGATGGCCCCAGTAGGCCAAAAGTGAGAGGAAATGAAGCTCAGGGACCTGGGAATCAAATAGATCTGGATTTGAATCCTCACTTGACCCTTTATGACCTTGCCCAAGTGACTTACCATCTCGGTAAGGTAGAGGTGATAATCATGCATAACTACTCCCGAGGAATTTGTTGCAGTCATGTCTGACTCTTTGTGACCCTGTGAACTGCAGCATGCCAGGCTTTCCTGTCCTTCACCATCTCCTGGAGTTTTCTCAAACTCATGTCTGTTGAGTCAGTGATGCTATCCAACCATCTCATCCTCTGCCGCCCCCATCTCCTCCTGCCCTCAATTTTTCCCTTCATCAGGGTCTTTTCCAATAAGTTGGCTGTTTGTGTCAGATGGCCACGGTGTTGGAGCTTCAGCTTCAGCATCAGTCCTTCTAATGAATAGTCAGGATTGATTTCTTTAAGGGGCTCCAGTAAGACACTGTATGTGAAGCCCTCACCCGATAGTGAGTGTTACACCTGGTGAATGATATTTTTGAAGTGATTATGAAAGAATCATAAAAGAAGGGAATGGTTCTGAACTGGGAAACAGTCTTATCTCAGGGCTCCCAATCACTTGTCAGGGCCAATTCCATGTGGTCCCACCGCCCATCCTGGTTATCAGCTTGGAACCAGGGAAGCCTTTGTGATAAAAGGGAAGGATGGTATACTGATGTAAAACACACCATACTGTTCTTCAGCCACTTTAGAAAACCCCATCGTCCAAACAAACAAAAAATCCTAAATCTGAAGGCATTTGGGATTTTTACCACTTACATCTCGCATCCCTAGCATCTGGCACACAACTCAACTTACGTTTCTTAACAAAACGCAATGATCACATGAAAAATATCACAAATGGTTTTTAATCCCTCAGACCCATAGAGAATCAGGGGGTACTGAGAGGCAGCTTCAGAGTCTTCTGTGAAATTTTTCATTTTGTGAAAAGATTTATAACTACTTGCTTGAGTGCAACTCCTTCCTACAGAGGTTTTTTTTTTTTTTTTTCTTTTTCTCTTGTGTATGTAGTAAGTAATACTCGAAAGACCTTTGTTTGGTTTATAATTTGAAATCTGTATATCATTTGGGAGGAGCAGAGTGGGATCGTTTTGGCAGAGGGAGAGAAGATGGCCGGCTGGGTGCCTCAGGAGCCTGCTTGTTTACTTTCCGCTGAGCAAAGCCTGGAAGGCGGGCTTCCCTCCCGTGTGTCAGTCACACGCAATTAGGGCTACTGGCTCAAGGCGTCTTTATGTAGGGCGTGTGTGAGGGTTACTGTTCTCCTGGATTGGGCCCTTCCTGTTTCCAGGCAGCTGGAAAACTCCAGGCTCGTCCTGAAAACACTCTTTATTCTGAGTCTGGTGGTCAGAGCAGCTCAGAGAAGCTGGTTTTCCTACTTGGCCTCCCAACCCACCCCAACCAGAGGCCGAACCGCTTCTCTTGGGTAGAGTTTGAACAACATCTTCTCCCTGGAGCATTTAGCATGGGATGGTAGGTCTGAGGAGGCTGCTTCCCACTTGAACACAAGTGATGGTCAGGAGAAGGGCATTGAGACCCAGTTTTACCACCCAGGGGGCTTCCGGGTGCCCACTGGGAGTCCTGGTATTTTGTGGGCTGTCTCAGGGCCTGGTGATTGCCACTGGCAGTGCTGAGTGCGTGGCGGTGAAGATGGCAGGCTTTCAGTTCTCTGCTCTGTGATGGCAAGCCAGAAAGTGCACACTTTACACCCCGAGCCTTCCAATTCACAGACCTGCCGTCTCCACCCTAGCCGCTTACTTACAAGTTTAGGAGATCCAGACAAGATGGATCATCCCTCCCTTCTTGGTATCTTACATTCAGGAGTCAGGGGAACCACTTTTAACCTTTTAAATAAAATTCTGAACATAACATTTCATCACCCAGAGTGCCTCACTGGTTTCTTCTTGTCTTTAGGAGTCAATTCTCAAATCCTTAATAAGACCTGAAAAATCTCTGCAGGACAGGGCCTCATCTACCCCTCAGACTTTCCATGGAAGACATGCTTTGCTTTGCTCTCTAAGCTCTGCCCATAATGACTTACTTTAGTTTGACAAGTATAGCACCCTTTCTCTGGGTTGGGGACGGTCTGTCATGCTGGTTACCGCTCTCTGAAACCTTCCTCACCATTTTGTCCATTAATTTCTATCCATCTTCAAGTCTCAGATTAATCAGCACTTGCTCTGGGGATCCTTCCTCAGTCCCTGGTAGACAAGGTCACACCACTCTGTGTATTGCAACTCTTCTCACACGCATAATTGCTTGTTCTGCGTCCCTCTTACCCAGTTGGGCTGTAAATGCCAAGATGGCAAGGAGCCTGGCACAAAGTCAGCTCCCAAGACATACTTGTAGTGCATTAATGAACCAGTTTTTTGAGGGTTTCCCACGTGGCTTGGTGGTAAAGAATCTGCCTGCCAATGTAAGAGACACAGAAGACATGGGTTCCATCTCTGGGTTGGGGAGATCCTCTGGAGGAGTCAGTGACAACCCACTTCAGTATTCTTGCCTGGAAAATCCCATGGACAGAGGAGCCTGGCAGGCTGCAGTTTGTGGGGTTGCGAAAGAGTTGGACATGCCTGAACGACTGAGCAGCAGCAATGTATCAATTTAAATGCCATATATATATTTTTTTTTTTTTCGCTCCACCTGGATGAATGTTTTCTGCTTCTTTGCTGGCTCAAATAGAGAGGACCTATGACAGGAATTACATTTTCTTCCTAAGAGCAAGACCTTAATGGGTCTCTCACTAGGTTGTCTGGCTTTGGGTTCACGTTATGACTCTCACAGGGTCGGGCTGCTCCTTCCTGCTCACTAGGGGTCTTCATGCCTGGGAAACACTGCGGAGCATGTCTCCCCCTTTGCGTGGCCTTTGTGAGCCACGCTAGACTGCTTTTGTTGAGACATCCAGCCGACTCTGTCTCTTTCCAGCCTTACCTTCTCAACTCCTTCATCTCCTTCACAGAGCATTCGAGCACAGTTCACTTGGGGATGCCAAGGGCTTATTTTTCCAGTTGCCACATGGCCTTTCTGAAACTCGCAGCAGATGCAACTGGTCATAAAGATGTCACATCCGCCTGTGTTTTAGTGACTGAAGGCCACCGAAACCTGGGCTGCCTCAATCCAAACAGAACACCCTTTATCCCTTTCCTCTCTCCTGGTCTCCAAACCCTCCTCCTGCCTTCTGTACCTTTTAATTTAATTAGTGAGAAAGAGGCCAATTGGAAGGGCGTGGCGCTTTCAGCCTGCGAACGTCTGTCAAGGGAAGGGGTGCCAGCCAGACTCGAGAGACGTGGTGAGATAGTGGCCTGGGCGAAGGGCAGTGGGGAGGGAGGCCTGCTTTGATCAGCTGGCCCTGCATCTGGTTTTTATCAGCAGGGAGCCCACTTTGGGGACCAAATGCTCATTAACAGACCGTGTGTACATGGCTTAGATAAACTCCAAGCGCGTCCCAGGCCCTGCTGCTCGCCCAGGCCCTTGTGCACAGAGGCGCATTATTCCAGCCTGGCAGCCCGCGCCGCGCTGTGGTTTCTTACATAAGGGAGGCCGTTGTGTTTGGACTCTGTCGGCTTACCTCAGCGCTGCCATTTCACACCATCCCTCTCCTCCCGCAGTCATTGGCTGCCCTGGCTGTTTCCTGCCTCAGAGGAGAATTAATTGAGGAGGGTGTTCTCTGGATCTGTTGGATTTGCCATCTCCCCCCACCCCCAGGTCCAATTCTGCAGACCTAGAGGTCCTTTCTCCAGGTGGTCCTTGACACATTATCAAGGATGACAACCTGGTAAGAGTTCTTTGATGTTTTCTTCGTAGAGACACTTTAAGAGACGTTGGAATTTGCAGCTTCTCTGCTAAGTTATAAACCAGCCACTGCCATTGAATTTCATTCCAAACTCAATTTTGTCGCTAGCCAAAGATCCTTACCTAAGGAGTTTTAAAACAGTGCTTCTCAAACTGTCTGTGAAAAACTAGTCCTTTTTTACCCCTACTGTTTTTGTTTGTTTTAATTTTTTTTTCAGTCTCTTATGAACTCTTACTTTGGTCCTCTATTTAGTGAAACAGATCTACAGATTATGTATTTGGATGTTGTGGCAATGTCAAATTGGTACAGAAGTTTCTAAAAGCCTACAAACTTGTGAACTTTTCTGGTCACTGAACAGGAGCAGTGTGAACCATGGACCATACTTTGAGTAGCAAAGGATTAAAGGATTATACTGGGAGACTCTGTCCCTTTGTGCTAAGTAGTATGGTTTAGTTCTTGACTCTGCAAGGATTATTACATGCTTGGGTAGTGCCAGATAGTACATGTTATTGGCTTCCTCCTCCTCATCTCAGAATGAAATCCTTGTTTCCAAAGATTCTACTGTGTCAGGGCTGGCTCATGAGAAGTTCTCGCCCTGCTCTATATATGTTTTCGTGTGTAAATAGGAGTTTTCATTTTACTATACTTCTTGAGAACTCCTC